CCCTGGGTGAGGCCCAGGAATCTGTCTTTTAGCATGGGCCCCAGGATGTCTGTTGTCCCTTGAGTTTTGAGGAGCACTGAGTTGGGGTGTAAGGCTATGCACATGCTTGAGGATTGGGGTTGGGGTCACCCCATCCCAGGCCGCTTCCACGTGTCCCTCAGCTGCTCCACTCCGTGCTTTCACTGTCACAGTCGGACGCTCTAAAAGGCTCTTCCACACAGGGCAGCTCCTGGTCCCTCCCTCACCTAAGGTGGGGTTCTGCCTCGGCCTCATTCTGGAGAGGTCCCTGCAGCTGGCCCACCAGTCCTGGCTCACCCTACAACAGTGTTTCCCAAAGTGCGGTCCGCGTACCCCCAGGGGTCTGGGAAGAGTTTGGTGGGGGTACGCGTTGCACCGGAGTTTGGTGGGGATATGCACTGCGCCTAATTCTACGTTCTCATGAGTACGAGGGGTACTCAGCGTTACGGAAATTATAGAAGGGGTACACATATGTCAAAAGTTTGGGGAACATTGCTAGAGGCTCAGCAGTGGAATTCTCGGGGAAGTTTTTACTATGCAGGTGCCCAGGCCCCTCCCACCACTGGTGATGGCCATTTGCTGGTTCTGTCAGGGTAGGGGGTAGAATTGGCAGCAGGACGCACCAAAGGAGAGAGGCAGGTAAAGAATATCTCAAGTTCAGCCGAAACCGGTTTGGCTCAGTGGTAGAGCGTCGGTCTGCGGACTGAAAGGTCCCAGGTTCGATTCCGGTCAGGGGCATGTACGTTGGTTGTGGGCACATCCTCGGCAGGAGGTGTGCAAGAGGAAGCTGGTCGATGTTTCTCTCTCATTGACTTTTCTAGCTCTCTATCTCTCTCCCTTCCTCTCTGTAAAAAATCAATAAAATATATTTTAAAAAAAAAAAGAATATCTCAAGTTCAACAAGAAGGTCATTGAATATTTCATGGCCTCCTAATGGACAGAGACGGAAAGGCATAGCTCAGAGAAGGCCGTGAGGTGGGCTCAGCTGTTAACCGTTGCTCCATGGTTTCCGGGGCCTTGTCACACACAGGGAGGCCCCAGGCTGCTGTCCTGGGCCCACCATGCACAGGAAGTACAGGCAATGAGTCAGGTCTCCCAGTGATCGTTGTACGATGAGTTTAACAGCAATAAGGGCTCCGTCTGACATTTGGCTTTTTAAACCACCAGCTGTATTTCGTTAGCTCCAGGTGGGAGAGACCTGGCTTGGAGATTGGCCACCACCTGGTCCCCACACTCCCACCTGACCCTGGGGCAAAGTCACTGCCTTGGTCACTGGAACTGAGTCTGGCCGGTGAGGCTTCCCCCGTCCTGTGACCGGCAGGGGAGGTGCTGGGGACAGTTCACGTGGAGAAGGGGAGACTCAGGGAAGAAGGGAGCTGCCTTCCTAATGCTGAAGGACTGTCATCGGTCTGCCAGGGACACCCCTGCCCGCAGGCTGCAAGCCTCCCTGTAGGACCAGGCCCCTGCCCTCTTCTCTGGCTTCATTCCTCAGCACCCACCTACCCCTGGGACCCTGGGCTCCAACCCTGTGCCTCTGTTCTCCTTCCTCTTCCTCAACAGGCCCTCCGGCCCTCTGCATTGTCCCCTCTGCCCGAAAGGCCCGCCCTGCCCTCTGCCTGCCCAGCTCTCCTCACCCCAGGCCTCCCTTCCCCCTGAGAGAGGATGGCTCACACCCCTGCGTACATCAGGTCCCCGATCCAAGCCCTCACAGCCTCTGCACTCCCATGGGACGGCATTGATCCCGATTTAGAATTCATTTAGAGTTTTATTATCTGTTTTATATCCATTTTCTTTTTTAAAAATATTTTTTTATTGATTTTTAGAGAAAAAAAAGAAGGGAGAGGGAGGGAGGGTGGAGGAGAGAGAGAGAGACAGAACAGAGAGAGAGAGAGAGAGAGAGAGAGAGAGAAGCATCGATGTGATGGCCAGACATCGATCAGCTGCCTCCTGCATGCCACCTACCCGGGGATCGAGTCAGCAACCCAGATATATGCCCTGACCCGGGATGAAACAGGCAGCCTCTCGCTGCACGGGAGGTGCCCAGCCCAATGAGCCACACCAGCCAGGCTCCGAGCATTCTCTGAGCTCCAGGAGACCATGGCGGCCTCATCTTGTCCCCACTGCCCAACTCGAGGCCCGGTTCAATAAGCGCTGGCTTTGCCTTGAATGCACGAATGAATGGTTCCATCGGGCGGGAGCTACAGGAAGACAACGCTGAGCTCAGTGAAAAACCACTTTCTAACGCTCCCGCTGTCCCAGGCTGGCAGCGGCTGCGTTGAGGTAGTTCCCGCAGGGAAGCAGGGCCTTCTGGACGGGGGATGGAGGCCCTGTCCTCTAAGGGACCTTCTCGTGCGAAGGTTCTGTCTCCTCCACAAAGGAGCCAGTAATTTGGGGATGGGGCGGAGCAGGAAGGGAGAAAACAACCTCCGGGCGTCAGGCCTGTTACTCGGGGGAACATTTATAGCTCGGAGCTTGCCTGGGACTGCGGGGAGATGGAGGGTGGGTGGGCAGCTCCGGGGACAGGTCTGAGTGGGAGCAGAACTGGGGGGCTGGACTCTGGAGCCCGGGGTTGCTGGCTTCTCATCTCGCCCCTTCATCCACGCACAAAGGACGGGGAGGACCTTGAGGACAGGGCTAGGCCAGAGTCCTCTGAATCCCCAGCATCCCACACATGGGTCTTCGCTATTCCTGTCCCCAGCCAGGGCCCCCCACGTAATGTGTGGGGCCTGGTGCTAAGTAAAAATGCAGCCCCCTCTGCTCGAAATGCACAGAGAACCTTTACAGTAGGGGTGTCGAACTCAATCAGAGAAGGGGCCAAAATCTAAAATCCAGCCTAAATTGCGGGCCGAATGGTTTACTGAACAGTCATAAACTGTCATTGTGATGGAAACGCAGCGGAGTACAGTGATGACAGCGCGGTGCGGGCCACATTGCAAGGCCTGGCGGGACGGATTTGGCCCGCGGGCCTTGTGTTTGACACATGTGCTTTTCAGCATCGCACTACACCGAGCACAGCCCCCTCTGCAACCCCACATGCACCCGCTCTCCCTCGCCCCCAGGAGGATGCCGGGCTGGGGACCCCGCCCGAGGACCAAGAGAAGATACCAAACAGGGACCTCACCGCAGTGCTGAGGCCAGGCCGGCTCTCACGCTGCTCAGCCAGGTCTCCGTTTATAAATGTGGGCAGGCACGGGGTCACTAAGCAATCGAGAGGTCAGAAGGGCGGGCGTGGGAGGCAGGGCGTGGAGCCAGCGAGACAGATGACTTCCTTAGAGCCGGAGCTTAAAAAATCCCCCTAAACCTCAGGAATGAGGCGAAGGGAAGGCCGTATCTCCCGCACGCAACGCCGTTTCGGAGCATCAGCAGGCTCCTCCGAGGGTTCCGTTCGGGGAGCATACGTCTGATTCCCCGTTTGCTGTTAATTAAAGGTCTGGCTGCCGAGGATTTCCATACTAACGTGTGCGTGTTTAGCGGTGATTTCTTCCCAACAGAAGCGAGAACTCCGAAGGCCACGGTTTTACGACCCGGACCTGGTTATTAAGCAGCACATCCCCGCCTGCTCTCCCCGGTGCCCGTCTGTCTCCCGGACTCCGCTGCTTCCCACCCTGCTGGCTCCCCAGCCGTGAGCGGAATAAGCCCTGGATGCATCTTCCTTCGGAGACTGGAGTGGGGGTTGCTGCTCAAAACTGTTTGGAAATTCCGCCCTGACTTTCGGGACCAGGAAAGGATTTCCAAGGAGATTCGAGGGAACGTTGCATCCATAAAACAAGAGCAGGCCCGAGCTGCCCTGGATAGCAATGAGCGCAGGGCGGGAAGCGGTCTCGGGAATCAACAAGACGCAGAGGAGAGAACCGGGGACCGGGCGGGCGGTGGGGGAATGGGGGGAGGACATGGCCAGTGACGGGGAAGATCGAGCCCAGGAATCCCCTCCTCGCACAGAAGGAGTCTGTGAGGGGAAGGGGGGCCGATGTGGCCAACACACAGAGGAGGGAATTTCGTGAGAATTTCAGAGAGACCAGAAAGAAGAGAGAGGACCATAATGAAGGAGAAATCAGAGGGTTTCCCCTCCCCTGGAGTTCTGCAAGTTCCACAGGGAGCGTTCAGACTCCGAGTGAACGGTGTGAACTCCGAAGGGGAAGCAAGGCCCTTCGAGCCCCCAGCAAGACAGAGCCGCAGTCTGCCCGGAAAGAAGAGCCAGGCCCGGGGCGCCCCCCGCCCCCTGGGGCGTGAACAACGCAGTGTGCCGGGTTCTGAGGGACAGAGTGTGGCTCCAGAGCCACGCAGACAAAAGCTACCCTCACTCACCGAGGTCAAAGGAGAGCCGTTTGCAGAGGCAAGACTGAAAATGGCACTACTCACATGCCTTTCTTTAAGAAAAGAGGACACACACACACACACACACACACACAGACGGGCGCCCTCAGCCACACCAGAATGGGGATGAGAGAGGAACTCAGCAAACGGGGTGTGGCTCGCAGGGAACCCTGGGAACCCGTGTGAGCCGTGGCGAGGTCTGCATGGCTGCTGCCACGTGGCTGTGCACCGAGCCCGGGGAGGGAGCCCGAGGAGGGCGCCTCGAAGAGGGGTGACATTTCTCTGCACACCAGTGGACATGTCATTTCGCTCCAGAACTCTTCTGTGGAATTTCTCACAGACTGCGGCACCAACACCCCCCTGGCCACATGCCTGTCTCCCTCCCCGCCCCTTCTCACCAGCATCGCGCACACGCATGTACACACACACACACACACACACACACACACACGCTCTCACACGCGATGACACCCACGCAGGCCTCCAGCCTTTTCCCCTCCCCCTTGCCACGTCTGCCGCACGGCCCCCTTGCTGGGCATGGCTCCCGCCTGCCTGTCCTTCAGCTCCAGAGCCACTTCCCCGGGAAAGTCCTCGAGCCCCAGCCCCGAGCCTGGCTCGGAGGTGCCCTCGGAGACCGCAGCTCCTGCCCGGCCAGCGGCACCACCTACCCCGCCATGACGATGAAGAAGTCCAGGCGGTTCCACGTGTCCCCCAGGTAGCACTTCTTGCCGAAGATGCCCAGGGCCACCATCTTGAGCACCATCTCCATGGCGAAGAAGATGAAGATGAAGTCGTCGAAGACCTGCCGGGCGGAGGGAGGCGAGAAGCGGGGGGCAGAGTGAGGTCACTGCGAGACCAGGAGGAGGGAGAGAGGTGGGGCTGGACCTGGGCAAAGGCCCGGAGAGGAGGATGGTGACGGAGAACGGTGAAGCCAGCTGGGCGTGAGGAGGAGGAGGACAGGTGAGGGGGATGGCTTGGCTGTGCTTGGCTGTGCCTAGTGCTACTGGAGGGGGTGCGGGGGGAGGAGGGGGAAAGGCACAGGGCATTGTGGGCAAGTGGGTGGAGCATTGTGTGTAGGTAGGTGCTGGGTGGGGAGGGGGCATCATGGGTAGGTGGGCGCAGGATGGGGAGGGGTGGGGCATCATGGGTAGGTGGGTACAGGGTGGGGAAGGGTGGGGTATCATGGGTAGGTGGGTGCAGGTGGGGAGGAGTAGAGCATCATGGGTAGGTGGGTGCGGAGTGGGGAGGAGTAGAGCATCATGGGTAGGTGGGTGCGGGGTGGGGAGGAGTAGAGCATTGTGTGTAGGTGGGTGCGGGGTGGGGAGGAGTAGAGCATTGTGGGTAGGTGGGTGCGGGGTTGGGAGGAGTAGAGCATCATGGGTAGGTGGGTGCGGGGTGGGGAGGAGTAGAGCATTGTGGGTAGGTGGTGCAGGTGGGGAGGAGTAGAGCATTGTGGGTAGGTGGGTGCGGGGTGGGAGGAGTAGAGCATCATGGGTAGGTGGGTGCGGGGTGGGGAGGAGTAGAGCATTGTGGGTAGGTGGTGCAGGTGGGAGGGCACGGTGGTGGGCAGGGCGGGCCGGGCGCTCACCTGCAGGATCTTGCAGCGCTCCGACAGGCAGTCCATGTCGTCGCACGGCTGGTACATGCCGAGCGTCACGCAGTTGAGCAGGATGACCAGCATGCTGACGCATTCAAACCACGTGCTCAGAGTCAAGGACAAGTCAGTGGGACCGAGTGCACCCCGGAACGTAATCCCCCCATCGCCTCACAGGCACGCCCATTCCTGTTCTTCTGAGTTCTCAAAAGACCTTGGAGTCAGCCCACCCCCTCAGCACAGGCCTGGCCACACGTGCCAGAACTCCCCGAACCACGCCTGCCCTGCGGACCCCACCCACCTCCCGCCCAGCCCGAGCTCCCTTCGGACCCAGGAAGGAGGGGCCCCTCGGCCTGGCTGGCAGCCATCTCTGAGCTATGAGGGCATCCCCACCTCTGACCACCTCCCTCTGACTGCCACTGCCTCCCCCCGCCCCCCACCCCGCACCCTTCCACCCCTCCCCCACCTCTCCCCTCCCCTGACCCATGCCCCCTCCACCTCTGCCCAAGGCCTGATCTGGAGCCTGCAGAGGCCGGTCCGGTGTGCCTGGGACTGGCCGATACCCCAGTCCCCCTCTCCTCACCTGTGGTTGGATTACAGCTCATCTCCAGGCCCCGGGTATCCGTACCAGGCCTCCCGCCCCAGCCCCAAGCCCAGCAAGGTGGGCCAGCCCAGGCAGAAAGCCTCCTGCGGCCCAGGGGGCAGAGAGCATCCCCCTGGGCAGGCCGCCCCCGGGGCCAGGGGCTTGGCGTTCACGGCTGGCAGGGACGGGCACCTAGGAATGTCTGTTGCATAAGTAAGTCCATCTCCCTGGGCCCTGCCCACGCGGACCCTGGGAGCCGTCGGTGTGTCCAGACGAGAACCTTCACTCCTCAATCTCACAGCCTCGCTCTGAGCTCCAAGGCGGCCACACCAGCCTGACCCTCAGCCGGATCCCACCCGAGGGGCGCTGAGCACCTCCTGCCTGATGGGAAACTGGCTTGGTTTCCTTGGTAACAGCCTCCCTCCCATCCCGGGGGTCCCTGGCTCACCTTGGGATGCTGCCTGCCCTCCGCCTCCCGCTCAGACCCTCCTTGCCCCAGCCCTGCTCCTTCCTGCCCGCCCCACCCCGCTGCCACTCTCCCGCCACAGCCTGTAATTAATCTCCGTCGCTGCCAGGGCCCCCTTCTTGCCGGAGAAGCGCTCTGGCGGCAGCCTCATCATTAATTAACTTTTTTAAAGTTCAAACGTTCTAATTACCCATCCCCCCAGCTCTCCCCCCTGCCTGTCGTGCTCTCCCGCCTTCAGACTCCTCCTCGGCTACCTCTGCCCTTCCTGCCGGTTTCAAGTTCAAGGTGCACTTCACAGGGGTCTCTCCCAGGAGCCTGGTGCCCCCACTTCTCCCTTAGGACCCCTGAGCCCATTTTACAGATGAGAAAAACTGAGGCTCAGAGGACCCAGGGGCCTCTCCTGCGTCACACAGCTGGGCAGTATGAGAGCGGAGAGTCACACAGGCCTGCTGGGCTCCACGGCAGGGTCTTCTCCAGGACGCATGGCCTGTCCCTGCCTGAAGCCACCCTCTGTCCCCTGAGTCTTTGGCCCGTCCATCCTCGGCGGCTCTCACCGGGACCCCGCACAGCCTCCCTCTGCCCTCTGATCTCCCCACACGATAACCAGGCACACTGTGTGCCCACACTGTCAGAGCGCTGTGCAGTGCTGACTCCTTTAAGCCTGGCAGCACTATTTTTACAAACGAGGAAATGGAGACAAAAGGGGGTGTGATTTGCCCAAGGTCACCAGCTGGGAAAGGGCAGGGCTGGAACACCAACCGGAGCCTGCTTTTCTTGTCCCCGCGCGGTTCTGCCAGATTAATCTGCCTGAGCAACGCCGAGTGCCTCTCCCTGTTCAGAAACCTGCCATGTTCCCAGCACCCCCCTCAGCTTGACACCAAGGCCCCTAGACCGGTCTTAGTGAATTCCTGCGACCTCACCTCCCTCTGGCCTTGGCATGCACTGGACTATCTATTCTATACTAATAAAAGGGTGATGTGCAGATTGGTCACGACGCCCTCACAGTAACAACAGAACAGCAGGCTTCGTGGGGCAACCAGGACGGCAGGGGGGTTAGCCAGGGACAACCAAATGACTGGCCAGCAGACTGCGTGGGGTGACCAGGCCAGCAGGGGGGTCACTAAGGGGCAACCAGGCTGGCAGAGGGGGGCAGTTGGGGGTGACCAGGCTGGCAGGGGGGGAGGGGGCAGTTAGGGGTGATCAGGCTGGCAGGGGGGGGCAGTTAGGGGCGATCAGGCTGGTAGGCAGGTAAGAAGTTAGGAGCTAGCGGTCCCAGATTGTGAGGGGGGTGTCCGACTGCCAGGACCAAGCAGAAACCAGCAGTCAGACATCCCTCAAGGAGTCCAGGATTGGTGAGGTGCCAGGCTGGGCTGAGGGGGACCCCCCCCCCCGTGCACAAATTTCATGCACCAGGCCTCTAGTATATACACATACACACACATACATATACATATACACATGCATATACACATACATATACATATACACATACATATACACATACATATACACATACATATACACATACATATACGTGTGTGTGTGTGGTTTATTAATTTCAGAGAGAGGAAGGGAGAGGGAGAGAGAGATAGAAACATTGATGATCAAAGCAAATCATCGATTGGCTGCCTCCTGCACACCCCACAGTGGGGATCAAGCCCACAACTCAGGCATGTGCCCTAACTGGGAATCGAACCATGACCTCCTGTTTCATAGGTCTACACTCAACCACTGAGCCACACTGGCCAGGCGGCACGGAACTCCATGCTGTCCCCAAGCACAGCCTGCATGCACTTCCCCTTCCCTCTACCACGTCCCCAGGCAAACTCTGCCTCACCCTTCACAGCCAGGTCACTGCTCGCCTCTTCCCAAAGCTTCCCTGGAAGCTCCTCTCACCACTCCCAGGCCGCAGTCCCGCCTCCTCTCTGGGAATGCTCCCTGCTCGCCTGGTCTAGCTGGTATCACAGTCATGAACTTGGCAATAGCCCCTCGGGACACGGCCCCAGACGTCACCACCTCCCGCTGGGTGCAGACGAGGAAGCAGGCCTGGCCAGCTGGAGTGACTTGCCCAAGGTCACCCAGTCCGTGAGCAGCCCAAACGGTCTGACGAGGTGGTGCCCACAGCGGCTGCCTCCGTGGCGCTGCCTCCGTGGTTTGGGCAGCTCGCCCTCGACAGCGAGTCCCTCGAGGGGCCAGACGGATCGGCTTTCACCTCTAGATTGCTCAGCGGTGGACACGCGGGGATGGACAGCCTCAGCCCGGCCCCGAGGCGCTCGGGGAAATCCCAGATGGCAGAGCCCGGGCCCTTGCCAAGAGCCGGTGCGGCTCAGAAGTCAGGCCAGAGCTGGCATCGCTGCCCGAGGTTCCTGACACGCTCCCCACTGGCCCGGGGATCAAAGGCAGCAGCCCCGGGAGCCGGGCCAGATCACCGTGGGGAGGGAGGCTGGCAGGGGGCGAGGTCCCGGCCAGTGGGCTCCAGGCCTGGCCCGGCGCCTGACGGTCCATGAGTCACTGGAGAGGCAGCGGGCAGGCGCCGGTGCGCTGGGACCATGTGAGGGAGGACAGAGGCCCCAGGAGGGTGATGGGGAGGCAGGGCCTTGGGTGCCAGCTCCTCACTGCCTCACACAGTAAGGCCCCCGCCTGGCATGTGAGGCCGTGCAGGTGCCACCCTGTCACCGTGCCCACTCATCGCTCAGGCCTCACTCCTGTCGGGGTGACCTTGTCACAGAACAACCCCACCCAGTCCTCAGAGCCTCTGGTCCGGGCGCCCACTGTGCATGGGAGACGGAGGGCAGAGAGCCAGCAAGGAGACACGGTGAGCCGAAGCGAAGGGACCTTCAGACTCCTCACCCAGGGGTCCCCGAGCCAGGCTGGATTCCACACCCACTGACACCCCAGGTCTCCCCAGCGCCCAGGCTCCGTGCACGTGCCATCGGCTCAGCGCGGCCGCGTTTGGGCGTTTGAAGCCGATCAGATCCCTGGCGGGCAGGTGCTGTGAGGAACCCGGATGGGGAAACATCAATGGCGATCTAACGCGCAGCTCCCTTGGCAGGAAAGCCTTCCCAGCACCCTTCTGACTGGGGAGGGAACCACCACAGTGGCCCTGGGGCTGCTCTGAACCCCCAACCCACTCCCACCCACACCCACACCCACACCCACACCCCGGCTCAGCCCCACCTCCAGCCAGCCTCCACCTGTGGCCAAGGCCCTAACCCCCCACTTCATTCCCCCACCCCACCCCCACTCCCACCCACACCCACACCCTCAGCTCAGCCCCACCTCCAGCCAGCCCCCACCTGTGGCCAAGGCCCTAACCCCCCATCTCATTTCCCTGCCCTGCCTCCCTCTCCTGCCCAGGTCCTCAGGTCCTCGGAACTGGGGCCAAGGAGCCTGGCAGTGAATCAATGGGCAGGAATTGAGTGGCCCCTGTGTGCCAGGCACCGGATTAACAGCAGTGAAGATGGCAAACATTTCTCAAGTGTTCTTGAGCGTTTGTATGTCAAGGAGCTTTCTAACCACACTGCATGCATTATCTCATTTAACCTCGCCGCAAACAATGAGGCCGGGAGCCCAGAGGCCCGGACACAGGCCCTGGCAGAAACAGCCCCTCTCTCTGCCAGCCACGCCTGCAACCGGCCCGGGGTCTCTTATCCTTTGGCCTTTGGGGAAAATAACAAAACAAACTCGGCAGCAGAGGACTGGGAGCCCGTGCTGGGCCTGGCTGCCCGTTACGTAACACGGCCTTGGACAGCAATGAGACGCTAGGCCGGCCCCTCAGGTGGACATCCGCCTCGCAGCGAGCTCACTCTTCACGCACAGCCTTTCCAAATCCCGGTTCCCTCAGGCCTGGCAACGAGGAAAGTCGCCCCGGAACTTCGGCAAACTCCCCTAAAACTGGCAGGTACTACTGCTACCCCGCCCCCACCCCCATTTTACAGATAAGGAAACTGAGGCGCGGAGAGCTGGTCCCCGAGCTCCCGTCACACACGGCCGCCCCGGCTCACACCGCTGTCACGTGGCAGGGGCAGGATGGGAACCTGCCTCTTGCTGACTCCAT